GGTCTGGCTATGGCAGCTGACACTCTACCCTCTCTGACCTGACCTGGTGACAGGACTGTGACTGCAGAGCACTGACTGTGTGCATCAGGACACAGCTCAGGGCTGTTCCTGGTAAGTCAGACACAACTCCTACCACGTTGTGTTTCCTGCCCCATGCACCATGTCTCTGCTGGTGGACAGCCATGGGAGAGCAACGGCTCAGTTTGATCCTCAGCTCTGATATTGAGTTGCAAAGGACTTGAATGTACCATCTTTCAGGCTTTATTCCCCATGGTCTCTCTGCCCTTTCACCTGCCTTGCAGCCAATTTCCTCCTGAGGAGTCCCAGGGAATTCCTCTGCTACCCTTCGTGGGTAGCCAGCACTGTCCAGTGACTCCCATCACCAGAGGAGATGTTCTGTTGCTCTCCCATCCCCCTCCCTTGCTCATTCCTCTGCTCCTTGTCTCTGCTCCCAGTCACTCAGCCCCATTTTTCCACCCAGACCAGCACAGGGGAGATTGCTGAGGAGGCAGCAAAGGGGAAAAAAAAATACACACCAAAAAAACCTGAGACCAGCGGTGATTCATCAGGCTAATGAGAAGTTTTGCTGTCACAATTAGTGTCCCAAGCCTCTCCTGAAGGGCTGGAGCCTGCAGGATGGCTGTCATGGCCCACATCCAAATCTGGGGGACTTCTGAGCCTTGCCATGTCACTGGCCTGGAAGCCTTCGCCAGCCAGGCAGACCCCAAGCAAGCTGTCATCACCTCTGAATGAAAATGTCTGGGAGCACGGGGGATGGCCACCTGGCATCAGCTTCCATAACTATCTATCTTCCTCCTCCTTATCAGGGTGGAGGTTCTTATCACCCTGTGTCAGTGTGAAGGCTCATACCCATCATCAGGATGAGGAGAATCCTCTGTCAGCACTGGGAGATTGACCAAAGAATTAGATCCATCATAGGGCTGGACTCAATGGTTTCTGGAGGTCCCTTCCAACCCCCAACATTCTGTGATTCTGTGATTTACAGATATTAATTTCTGCTACAAATCTCCTTGGCCTTCTAATTAAATGAATTTTTAGGTTTTACTTTGGCTTTGGTGGAACTATCACAGATTTAGGAGGTCCCAGCTACTTTGATTTATTAATGACCTCCTTCAAACCAGCTGAGTGTGTGCAATAAGCAAAACCCTGCAATCTAGTGCTCTAAACTCATCAGTTATTGTCAGTCATAATTAACCACTGAGAAGCCAAGAAGGTTTTCTGATTCCGAGGACTTCATATGCCAAAAGTCCTTTACACCAGTTGCTCCTCCCACGTTGGAGTGCTCTCTGCAGGCAGAGCCATCTCCTGTGGCTCAGCCCCAACGCCGACGAGATGCTCCACTCTCCAGCTGAAGTGCTAATGCAGGCACACTAATGGGCTTAATTATCCAGGTATTGCCAGCAGAGATACTGCTAGAAAATGAAGGAAGCTGATTGAATAAAAGCTTCTTGGTCCAGGATAAACTGCTCCCGTGAGACTGAGGTTTAGAGGAGCTGGCTGTATCAGAAGACATTCCGAATCCTGAGCTCGGGCACTCATGGCATTTTCAAGAGAAATCAACAGAAAGAAGAAAACCAAGTGGTAAAACAGGATTAGCAGGATCAGATCTGCAGTCTGGGTCTGAAGGGTGAGGTTAGCTGAGTCCACGTGGTCTGAATGGAGGTGGGAAGAGGACAGCTGAGAGGGAGGTGTCCTTTCCCACCCCTCCAGCCGAGGTGCCTTCAGCTCTCTGTGGTGCCCAGGAGACCTTCCCTTCCTCCACCAGCCCGGGGGCAGCACGCCTGGGGCAGCTGCAAGCTGCCTCTGCACTTCTGTGTGCTGCTGGTCAGAAGACCAAATAAAATGAAATTAAATGAAATTAAATAAATGACCCTCACTTTATTCTGCAGTGACACTTCCCTGCAGCTCTGCAGGGCTAATGATTCTCTCTAACAATGCAGGAAATTCAAAACTTTGAGCACTAAGATTCCACCAAATCTGTTTGAAATGGCCAAGGAATTAAACATTTGTTGCACAGCAACTTCACTTTCCTTGGGAAGCAGACTAACAGCAATGCAGAGACACTTGCAGGGATCTACTGCCCACAAGGAGGAAAAGGATTCAAATGGGGCAAATATTTTTGGAATCTCTATTTCTTGGTATTTCTTTGTTTATTGTTTGCATTATTGAGGTTGCTTTAGACCAAAAAAAAAACAAAAGAAAAAGGAGAGGAATTTGGCTCCTAGCAAATAACTTCATTGTTCTGCAAGCTGGACCATGAGCATTTCCTAACAGATGTTTCTGGTGGCACAGCTGCAGTGTCAACTTCAGGAAACCAAGTTTAAGCCAGTGGCCTGCAGGAGTGAAAAGACTGCAAGGAAATATTAAAAAAAAAATCAGAGGAGGAACATTTATAACTGTGACATCAAGGGCAGTTAATCAACTTGCCATTACTTAAAGTTGTTCCCTCAGTTCTGTGAAAAAAAAAAAAGAGTAATTTGCTGTGGTGGCACTTCATGGTCGTAAGGAATCAACATGAGC